GCTTACAGCCTTCCCAGTGGAAACATTGACATTCCTCTGCTTTGATGGGTTCAATCAAAAATCAGTATGTGGGTCATGAGAAATAGTGTCAGGTGAGAAAGACTACAAGAGCCTTCCACATGCCAAATCATACTACGACCACTTCTTCACTGATCCATGATATTTGAAAAGTCAGAGTCAGGTAAAATCCCTCAAGATTTGTCCAAAAGGAAACATTCTACCCATCTTTTAAAAGGGTAGAAAGCAGGACCCTGGAAACTACTGACCTGTCAGTCTCCCCTCTGTGTCTGGGAGGACCATGGAACACATCCTCCAGGAAGCTGTGCTGAGGCACATGGAGGACAGGGACAGACCACGTGGCTTCAGCACGTGGGACAGACCACGTGGCTTCAGCAGGGTCAAGTCCTGCCTGACTAACCCAGTGCCCTCCTATGATGGAGTGACTTCATAATGGATGGAGGAAGGGCTACGGTTTTATCTGCACTTCTGTAAAGCCTTTGACATGGTCCCCCACAACATCCTTCTAATTTGGAAAGAGACAGATTTGATTGCATGGACTGTTTGATGGACAAGGAATTGGTTGGATGGTCACATCCAGAGGGTAGTGGTCAATGGCTCAGAGTCCTGATGGATACTGGTGACGCACGGTATCCCTCAGGGGTCTGTACTGGGACCAAGACTGTTTAATATCAATGATGAACAGGGATTGAATGCACCCTCAGCAAATCTGCAAACTTGGTGACACCAAGCCAAGTGTTGCACTTGACACCTCAAGGGACAGGATGCCATCCAGAAGGACCTGTACAAGCTCACTGAACTGGCTCATGGGCATCTTATGAGGTTCCACAAGGCCAAGTACAGCGTGCCGCAAGTGGGTCGGGGCAATCCCAACAAGCATGAGTACAGATGGGGAGAAAAGCCCTGGTGAGAAGGACTTGGCGGTGCTGGTGGATGAGAGGCTGGACATGATCCAGCCATGTGCACTCACAGCCCAGAAAGCCAAATGTGTTCTGAGCTGCATCCAAAGCAGCGTGGCAAGTAGGTCAAGGGAGGGGATTCTATCCCTCTGCTGCACTCTGGTGAGACCCCACCTTGCACACTGCATCCAGCTCTAGGGTCTCCAGCACAGGAAAGAAGTGAACCTGTTGGAGCATGTTCAGAGCGGAACCACGATTAGAGGGCTGGAGCACTTCTCCTCTGTGAGCACAGGTTGAAAGAGTTGCAGTTATGCAGTTTGGAGAAGAGAAGGCTCCAGAGCGCCTTCAATACTTGAAGAAGGCTTACAAGAAAGATGGGGACAAACCTGTTAGTGGGGCCTGCAGCAATAGAACAAGGCATAATGGTTTTAAACCAGAGGACGGTATATTCAGACCAGATGTAAGGAAGAAATTTTTTTACTATGAGAGTGATGAGACATTGGAACAAATTGCCCAGAGAAGCTGTGGATGCCCCATCCCTGGAAACATCCAAGGTTAGACTGGACAGGACCCTGAACAACCTGATCTAGTTGAAGATGTCCTGGCTGATTGCAGGAGGCTTGGACTAGAGGACTTAAGTGTCCTTCCAACCCAAACTATCCTATAATTTACGATTCTCTTAGAAACATTTTTTCATAATGACAATAGGCTGAAAAAAGCATCTCTCCTGGTCCCATTTGGTGTGCAATTGATAAAAGAAGTATTAAGTGCTGGCAGCCTTGCGAGCTGCAGTACAACTGGGCTGCAAGCAGGCTCGACGGCCAGGGCTGAAAGGAGGCCAGAGCTCTGCTGTGTCCTTGTACCTACTCATAGGAAAATATTTTAAAGAGGCCACGTGGCACCTTTTCTTTAATCTTCCCGTCTGCATGCTACAGTGGTGAACAGAGCAGCATGTATTACACAAGCATGCATTCACAGGTTGTACATCTCTTATAAGAGTATCTGCCCTTCTATACTAAATATGTTCCTTTCAGTCTCTTTCCCACCCCCTTGCTGTTTGAAAGGTGGGCTTTCAGGGAGCTGAGGTGACAAGGGATCACCCATGCTGTCCTGCACACTGGAGCAGCAAGCCAGATCTCAGGATCTGGCAGCACTTCTGGCAGCCCAGTTTTAAGAAAGTAACACAGGGATGGATGAGTTCTTGGAATAACCAATTGAACTGAAGTAAATTTTATGGAAAAGCAAAAGTGTGACTTAGCAAAATAAAACCTGGAAGCGCTATGTGCTAAGATTTATCATCAGGAGAAGTAAACATGGGCATGAGAAGGTGATCTGTTTCACCTAAGTAAAATAAGAAAAGTCACAAAGAGACTTCTTTTCTTTCTTTCTGAAGAAAAAAAGAAAATAACTTGGCTATGTGGGCTGGAAACCATTAGAGCCATGAGGTTTGGCAGGAAGGCAGTAGGAGATGGCGGGGCTGCCAGCGAGGTGCACACACCTGCTGCCACCCCCGGGGACGGTGAGGGCAACGTGGAAACACACAGTAACACGCTGTAACTGTGCTGCCTTCTGAAATGCTGGGGAAATAAATTTTAAAAGTACGTAAAAAAAAAAAATTAAAAAAAAAACCAAACCAAACCAAACCAAACCAACCAACCAACCAAACAAACAAACAAAAAACAAACCAAAAAAAACCCCCAAAAAACCCTGCAAGCCAAACCTCCGTGACACTCTCCCAAGGTCACCGCATCGCCACCCACAGTCGGGGCCGGCCCTGCCGCGGGGCCGCGCTCTGCGCTCCCTCTTCCCGCCCGCCGCCCACGCAGCTCCCTCGGCACAGACCCTTCACGAACAAAGCCCGTCGCGGCCCCGAGGGGCGGGAAGAGCCTCCCCCGCGGCTGCGGGGCGGCCGCCCCCGCCCCGGGCTCCAGCCACCCCCGTGGGACACGGTAGTCCCGGCATGGGCGGCTGCGGGCGGGTTCCCCGCCGAGGTCAGCGGCGGGCAGGGGCAGGCGGAGGGGTCTGAAGGGTCTGAGGGGTCTGAGGCGCCTCCTCCGCCGCCCCCCGCCCTTACCTCGGCCCTGCGCGCGGCCGGCAGGAGGATGCGGCGGCCCAGGGGCTGCAGCAGGAATTTGAACGCCGCCATCTTCGCGCTGCGCGGCTGTCGGGGAGCGGAGCGAGGGGCGGTGGCCGGGCCGGGGCGGCGGGTGCGGGTGCTCGGCGAAGGGCGAAGAGGGCGAGGGGAGCGGCGGCGGCGGGACGGCGGATCCCGCGGGCGGGGGAGTGCGAGGGGCTCGGCCCTGACGCGCACTGACGTCGGTGCGGCCGAGGCGGGGCCGGCGGCTGAGGGGGCCCGGGGATGGCGGCTGCTGGAGCCCCCCGGCCCGGCTCCGTCCGGCAGCCGGGAGAGCTGTCCAGCCTCCCGCCGCTGCCGAGCCCAGGGTGCCCGTCGCTGGCGCTCTCCCACGGGGAGGAGCAGCCCCTACTCCGGTAGCTGCCACTGACACCGCCGGCCCATCAGACAGCGGTTTTGTTCATAAAAACCATCAGAGCCCACACGGGTGGGAAAGCAATCAGTGTTACATCACTGTTACAATCACTTCAATAAACAACAGGTTTTCCTGTTTTCCTTTCCTTTTTCCTGTTTTCCTCTCCACGCTTTCCACAAATGGACAGCTCAGATGCACCACCGCAGCTGTCTCCCTGGAAGTTAAGGTGGCTTAAATTTCTGCCCTATCACTTTCTGGCTGAGGACTAACACCACAAGAATAAAGGAAAGGACAGAGGCTTTGAATGTTTTACGTTTCCAGTGCACAGCCCTCGGGGTGAGCCAGGCTCCAGTAAGCACATGGTTTCCACAGGGCACTTGGATGCTATGTTTGGGTGGGAAAATATTACTAGAATAGATGTCTGCTCGTTTAAGCAGCAGCCACGTGAGGTGAACTCCTGGCCCTTCTGCTGCTTCTAGGAGGAAAATTCAAAGCATGACTCTGCCATTATTTATGCTCTCTAAAAATACCCCACATAACCAGTGCATGCCCCAACAATGCCCAATAGAACAGAAGGATTCACAGGAAAATGCGAGAAGCTGTTCAGATGCAGGAAATTAAGTTCTCATGCGCATGACAAGTCACCCTTCTGGCAGGTCATGCTGCTCCTCGTCTTGTTTCCAGGCTGTTTCCATTGCAGCTGCCAGCCTCTCTGTACTTTGCCATTGCAGTAATCAACATGCAGCAGGATAACTTACAAGGAAACCAAGGTTTAAGAATGTGCTACACACCCCGTCCATTTTATCCAGAGCATTGGTCCAGCCTTGCAGGTGCTGGTTCATGGCCTGTGGCATGCCACTCTCCTATCCATTTTAAAAGGTGGGACCTGTAGTTATATTTCACATAACAGACAAACCTTGCAGATGCCAATGAAGTGTGGTGGTGATGCCTTGACTGTTGTGAAGGTTTTCAGTTGGTTAGTTTTTTCTAGTTATTCATCATATTTAGCTAGTCAGTTAAGTCTGGGCCAGTTCCAGGTGTCAAAAGCTACAAATTATAGAGGCTTAATGAATTAAAAACAAAATAACAGCACACCTTGTATTCTTCCAGGGCTAAGCATTAGCAGAAAAGTTTCGCAGGGCTGGATTTCTGAACCTTGGTTCCTCCTAAATTTCATATACACATGTAAATTCCTTAAGTCATGTTTCCTTTCATGACAAAATTTCCCTAAGCATAGAAAAACTTGTCTAAACTAAGTTTATTTTCTTCAGTTCAATAAAGTAAGTTTATTCTTTTCAGTTAAATAAATTATCTTCCTTTAAACCAATACTGTGCATTCTCAAACTTATCAAAGTGTTCAGTGTTGAGTACTTGTTACATACCCAGCTAGCATTTTATTTTGCATGGAATTTGCACTATTTGGGATTCCAACAGCATTCCTCCTTGCAGACTGAAGGAAAGGGGCTAACTGTATATGTGCATGAGTATGAATACCTACTTGGAACATCTATTACGCAGAGCTGGTTATTCTACTTACATAAATTACAGTTTCTAAACTAACTTTTCCTTATCATCTGCTACAGATTATGTAAGACTAAAATTATTTTTTTAAAAAACTGAAAAGTCCACATATTTTGGACTGCAAGCATCTTATTTTGGCTTAGAAAAGCTCCAAGCATGACTGAAAGAGTAGATAAAATAATTTATTTTGGAGTTTATAAAGGACAGTAGATCATCTAATTTATCTTTTTTTTTTAAGATGTCTTAAAGCTCCTCACACAACAAGAACTACAACTAAGTGGCCAATGTGAAACAAGTCTCTAAAGTGATCAAGAATGTTTTTAATATTTTGTTCAGTGAAGTAAATCACATAAGAGCAGTAAATGTGAGTCAAAACACTTTCTGAATTTAACAGCATTTACAAATGAGGAGAGTTTTGAGCCCTTGGTGCCCAAAACAAGTCAGCAGGTAGGCATTCTACAGCTACCACAGGTTAATCATTATATACACACTGTATAACACCAGTTTACTTATACTGCCATCAAGCACAAGATGTCAAAGTCAGAACTCCAATACAGTGAAACAGTATTTCCCCAAGAAGCCATCAAAGAGTTAGCAGAGAGTTTGCAAGTTTCATTTACCTGCACAGGAGGAACAACTCGAAATCTGAGGTGAAAAACTTCGTTTCTAGACATTTTTTTTTAATTTGCATATACTTGATCCAGATTTTAGCTAATGAAAATTTAGTAATTTACCTTTCTTTCAGATCCATTGGAACTTGGCAAGAAAATTCAGTTAGTGAGGCATGAAAACTGCATATAGAGCCACAGTGAGAAGGAGAAGGGAAAGCTCATTTAACTATGCAGCAACTAGAACACACAGAGAACACCTAAACTTACCTTCAACATGTTAGTAAGTCCCAGTTCTGAAACAAGAGGTTGGTGTTTAGTACTTTTGATTATTACTCAAAATATTAAAGTATTTTTATATTAGTCATTTAAAAACACTTGCAACTCATCTTTCATAAAGTGCAATAAACCTGATTCCTTTAATATGAGATGGAAAGTCAAAGAAAATTGAAAAATTATTTCATAGCATTCTCATATTCCTATGAGAACAGAGTGATACTGACCTAAAGGCATTACATAATTATAAATATGATGAGAACATGACAATAATTACAAGCCCCTGTGCAATACATTCGACAATTTTAAGATCAACTCATAGCACTTACAGGATGTATAATTAACTAAGAGAAGAGGGCTGCCACCTGTGTGACCAATGCTTACATGACTGAGCAAACCATGTGAACTTAAATACTCATTAATAAGAATTCAGTGAAAGGAAGGTCTTTACAAAGAAAAATGAATATTTGCAAGTCTAATGAAAATTACACGTGTTAAAAATCAGCAGAGATTTGGCAAATGAAAGTTCAAACATAACTAAATATAAATACCAAAGAAAAATAAATTGGAAAACAAACAAAAAACAATTAGAAACCCCAAGCCCTAAAAAGCTATTGTCTAGATGCAAATGTAAAGCAAATGAAAGAACCACACAGCCAAGGTTTTTGAAAGAAACATGTGGAGTTGTTGAGGAATCTCTTTGCCAATTTTTCGTTCATAGTCCTAAGCTGAAGATAAAGAAGAACACAAAACTATAAAACGATCAGGAAGCTACATAATAAGGAAGAATCAACAATCCTTTGGCAAGAACTACTTCTTTATCCCTGAAGGACCTCTTGAGCAAATAACAGTAAGTCATGAAATATTTTTGTTACAATTAATATCCTAATAGAATACAGGAGGTCATCTAATTAAGAAAATAATAATAAAAAACCCCCACTACTTGGATGAGGAGGTCCATGCTGTGAAAAACGATCTTCGGCAATTTTAGGTAGAATTTTAGGTACAGCTGTCTCATATTTTAGGTAGAATGTCCTGCTCTCATATAAAGGATACAGAAACTTCTATATCTTGTCAGACTATTATTTCATTATTATGAGCTAAGATAAACAACTATGCAGAACTTCTTAAAAGCCACCGAACATTATATACTTGGGCAAAATTTGAGAATTAATGTTACCACAGCTAATTAACCTTGACAGCACTGAGAAATAGCCCCTGAAATATCAGCATTTAAATCCACGGTTAAGTAGTTACTTCACTTTGGTTGTCTTAAAAAAATGACAAAACTTCAAGCTTTCTGACCAGTGCAAACACTGCAACCTCATTCAAAACCACAGTACTTACAAGATCTAATTATTCAGCACTTAAAATTAAGGTGTCATTTTAATTTAAATAGAACCACAAAGTCTGTTACTCAGTATGATCCTTGGCACTTCCATTCATGTTCATATATTGCTCATTTGGTAACTGCCATAACATTGTCTAAACAAGCTAAGGTGACAGTCAGTATGTCTACTAGTTCTGGAGAAAGGATAAGTGACTTATCATTCTTTTACAGCAGGAGTGAGGAAAAACCAAAATGCCTATTCAGCAGATACTTGCAGACATCAGCTGCATAAGTTCCATATGTTTGTGTATTGATAATTGTGGAGGATGGCTTAAATTCCTATTCAGAAAACCCTACTAATTTCTCATTCCTTACTTTTGCCACAATTTTTATTCTGCAAGAATGCAACAGAACAGGAAAGTCTTTCCCCCCACACCCTCTGAACAAGCTGAAAGAATGGGTTTATTTTATGCTACACACCAATAGCGCTGTAAGAGTAAACACAGCAAAAGTGGCTACAGAAACAATAAACTGTAAACAGGAATCCTGAGCAGCTGTCACACTGCAAGTCAGTTCATGTTTGGTAGCACTACTGTAACAGGCTTTTCCGGATTCTGCAGTGCAATGTTACATTAATAAGCTCCACAGGGTTCTTTCAAACAAACCTCAACAGCAATAGAAGGTACCTAGGTACCAACAGAACCTAGGTGGACTTTGTAAAAATATGAGTGAAGAAATTTTATTCCTTGTGTTTGATACACAGTGTATTAAAAAAAAAAACAAACAACTAACAGAGCCCTAAGATGATTATGCAAACCTTGTTTTGCAGTGGTTGTACAGAGTAAACAGATCTCATGCACACCTCACTCCGCACCTCGCTGGTTCTGCACAGCAAGACTACAGGCCCAAGCATATAAATTGCCTGGCAGCAAGTTTTGCCTGTAACTCTGGTTTTCCTCCTTTTAAACGTGGACTTTGCCATCTGTTCTGTGGGTGTGGAGCTTAATTGGAAAGGACTGCTTCTTGTCTACAAGAGTCTAGCACACAAACTCATGCATGCAATCTAAGCCCTTGTAATTACTTTATTATTTCCTAACAAGGGAGGCAATGCCCTGCATGCACTGACAAAATCAAGTCCCAATCCATTCTCCAACTGTTCTGGGTGCCAATTGTTTTGCCTAATTCTTCTAGTACATCCAACTGCAGGAGGAACAGCTGTCAGAACGGCTTCCCCCTTACAGTGGGCAGCTCATCAACGGCTTGGTTAATATTCTCAACGGTCCAAAACTTACACATGTAAAAGCAGATAGGCCTTTACTGTGACATTTCATTTCTCACTCACAATCACATGAACAGAATTTGTAGGGAAGGTAACAACTTTCACACAGGATATATGGCAAAATCTGAAACTTTTAAAAATTTCTTTTAGAAAGTGATTTAAAATGAATGCCTACCATTCACTCTTCCATCTTTTTAAAAGGCCTTCAGAATCCATTGTCTTAGAGCATCCTATTTTTCCTCCGCTCTTCCCTGGTTTTGGTAAAGTTGGATTTTAAACCTGGTTCTACAGATACACACTCACAAGGAGCTCGGAAGCCTGCAACAGAGATAAGCCTAAGCAGCAGATTCCCTCCATTTACAAGCACACTGTTGCTTGTCACAGAGCTCTTAGGCCTCTTGCTGACAATCTCACCAGTTCAAAACATCTTGCCAAAGATCCTGATGGTTTCTTTCAGGAGTCAGTTTGAAGCCATACCCCAGCTGTTCACTGAAGAATTCTATATTCCAGTTTTTGGGGTTTGCAGAGTTTTAGTAAACACAATCATTTCATATTGACATCACTTCCATGAAATGTCATGGTTAAAAGCTGGACTATACTGAGCGTATTGGTGACACCCTGTGGTATTCTGCTGAACTCTCAAACAAAAATGGCTTCGAGGTCTTTAATATTTGTCTTCTCAGCACCAATGCCTGTCCTCACTTAAGACTCACAGGCTCCAATGAGTTGCTACTTCTGTAGCACTTGTGGCATGGAGAACATTAGGTACCAATGGTAACCAGAAAAACTTGGTTGAAACTAATTACTACGGGAATGGCAAAAAGGGTCTCAGATTACCACATAATTTTAAAATGTGTAATTCACGTGACTAGAACATTTATCCAAGTGATAAACATGATGCTTTTTGCTTGTAGTGCATTTACATTGCAAAGAATTCAAGCAAGCACTTCCAGAATTTCACTCAGCTAGCAAGTTATCTGCAAGAGGAATCAGAAAATTTGTCAGCAATCTTGGATTTTCCATTTACCTCACAGTGTAAAACCTTATCATAATTTGCCACTTCAACAGCTGTGCATCAAAACAGAAGAATTACCTGTGATAACTTAGGTCTTCAAAATCAGTATGTTTATATTTATTTTCTTATGACTTTGAAAGATGGGTGTTTAGTTGAACATAGACTCAAGAGGGTACTCTTGGCACTCACACTCCCAGGTAGCAGATTTCCAGCAAGCCAGCCAGAACACCACAGACATTTCACATTCTACTCCACACTTAACGTTCAACAAACATGGATTTCTTGCTCCAGCAAGAGCAGTGCATGGATTTGCATGGTTGAACATTCAACTGTAGTACTAGAAAAGGGGTGGGGAGGCTTTTAACAGCGATGAGCTTCCCAGTCAAGTTCATCTGAAAGATACAAACGTAGGAGCAGCTAAAGACATCATCGGCCACCTGGATGATAGAAGAAGAAAAAAATATGAAAGCAAAAATATTGTGGTCCTGAGCGAGCCAGAGCTAAGTGTGTGTGTGAAAAGAATCGCAAGGTAAAGCTGGAAAGCCACTTGGATCATGATTGTTCTTTGTGGGTGAAGACAGCCACAGAAGTGTCCGTGTAGAATGTGTGCAGATAACACCTGGCCTGGCTTGATAGCTCAGATCCTTATTCTGTATATAAACGGAGTAATAAAGTTACAAGAGAGTTCTGCCCGGACAAAGTCTGTCTCCCGTAGAGTCTTTCACCCCAAAGGGTGCTGAGTGAGGGATTTTCACTGCATACAATCACATAAGCACGACTTAAAACGCCTTTTCATAAAGAGAGGGAAGAAGGGGCAAGACAGCAGAGCAGATATTTAAATTAGTATTCTTCTGAAACTGTTTACCAGACTAAGGCACGACACCTGTCTTCTGTACACCTTAGTTGTTACACTGCTTCTTATCCATTCCATGATCCTTTCAGGAATGTTAGTCTGTTGGGGTTTTTTGTTTGGTTTTGGTTTTGTTGTTTTATTTTTTTTTCCTATAAAGAGAAACCCTAGAAGAAATGGAAAAACTTTAATGCTGACTGCTACATAGATTAATACAATACACAAATTAGTAGATTTAATTTTGCTATGATCCAAGGGAATTAACTGTATAAAACCTCTTAGAGGGGCAAAAAAGCTTGAGTAAAAGCCAAATAAAGGTTCTCTCACAGAATGCTACATATTACAGTTTCAGAAGGAAGCTACAGTCTCATCTTACAGCCATTCAGATCAGCTTGGTGATTCAACTGCAGACTAGGTCTGGGGGAAAAAAGGGCAGCATTCAGTCAGATAAGCGAGCAGACCTCATACACCAACCCATCACATGACTCTAGAATTAATACAATTAAAGATGGGAACATGCAGTTAAGGACATGAGTCTGTTGACCAAAGGACATTACTTCTGCACTTGCTAGAAGCCGACTGTGAAACAATACCCTCAGTTATACGCACAGGTATCTGTAACAGTTGGAGATTGAGATGGAGATTGCTGTAAGCAAGTTCTCCCAGACCAGAACAACACTGACAGGAGCCTACAAATAACATGTGGTAGGCACACATTCTTCTGGAAGAAGGTGTCCACAGTACACACCATTCTTTGTTCATTAACCATATAATAGAAAAACACAGATTTCCTTGCCTGTTGCAAGTAAACTGTTTCATTCCCTTACAGAATACTGTACACTTTACAATTTCTTTTTAAAAAGAAGCTAGTTCAGCTTTCCCTCAAACAGCAAGAAGTTCCTATTTGTCAGCCTCTAATGCTCCCCTCTTCTAGGCCGGTCTCTGTAGAAGAGAGCGATTCCAACATCAAAGTTCAGTGCATGCCACTCTAACAACCAGAAATCAAACTGCCAAATCACTTTTTATGTTCAGAAGCTTCTCAAATCAGGTACTGTCCCAATAGCAGGCTATAAGAAAGCAGCTGGTTTATGTTTTGTCAGGGCACCACCTGAACTATATACAAAGTAGAAAGCAGGTAGAGCAAAGTCATGTAAGGCTAGGCAAACAAAAATGCGACACACCCGCAATTTCACTAACTGTTGGCACTAACATGCTTCTGCAGAATAAATCTATTTCACATCTATTGACACAATGATAAAATTCCATTACAGATCACCCTTATTCCCTGATTTCACATTTGGCATTGACAGTGTAACAAATGCTCTGAACTAGATAAATTTCAGGCTAAACACACAGCTTCATTTTAAGAGGACTGACTGAATTTGATACTGTATTGTATAATTTCATGAGCAATGATTATATGAACAATACCATGACATTATTCAACATGACACTGGATTCTGGAAATTATTTCATAGTCCTTCATCCCACAAATAGGAAGGAAATCTTTGGTAACTATCTGCCCTTTCTTAGCATTATTCTGAATAAATTCCAGTTTTACACCCCTTCCCTGGTAATTGCAAAGCCACACAGTGAAAGCAAGACAGAACTTACATTTCCTTTCTTGCATTTGAGGAACTGAAAGGTGATACCAAAGTATTGAGGGTTTCTGAATTTGAGGATTTTGAAAGGTGATACCATAGTATTCTTACAGATATTATTAGATACAATAAACTAATGAAGCTCACATACAATAAATAAAGACCTCTGTTTCATATTTTCTGTGCATAAATACAAATATTTATTTTGCTTATTTTCAAGAGCAGGAATATTTACTTCAAATAATATAGTGATGAAACATATGTGGAGGACCAAATATTCTGTAACACATTTTAATAAATTCAGTAGTTTTATAAACAACACTTCTCATACTCCTCAGCTAACACAGTTTATGGTGCAAGTCTGACAGCTAAGACTGAGTGCAACAATCCAGTTGTTGCTGAGGTAGCTCTGACCAGGAGAGCCACAGAAGGCACATTGCTTCAGTTCACCTCTTTGCTCACTAAAACTCATCAAAATGAAACAAGATGGATCTGAAATAAACTTCAAACTTACTTTGAGCAACTCAAATCCACAGGAGGCAAATATGAATAAATGTTCATTAATACATATAAGTAAGTAAAAAGAGCAGGTACTTTTCATTAACTTTTGTGAAATGGCTCTTTAGTTACTAGAGATGCACCATAACAGTCTCATTCCTAAGACAGCTAAATCAGCATAATGTCCACCATCCTGAATTCACACTAAGAACCAATAAAATGGAATTTATCGATTTAGGCAGTTATGCTTTTATTCACTGTCAAAGTTTGCAATTTTCATAAATAAAAAAAAAAAACAAAGAAGGTAAGTCAGTCTCATTTCTTTGCTAACAAAAATACACCATTACTGCCTAATATTTTAGAAATATATTCCTGATTTAAGTATTTTACCAGAGATTGAATACATTTGTGAAACCTATTGTATAGATGAATATGCCTATCTCATAATTTCTAAGTCAACTCACATCTGTCTCAGTTATAATTGCTGTATAGAATTCAGAGACTGCAGTCCAACACTTAAATTACCTATTATAATTTATGAGGACCACTCATTATTAAGGGCATACATTTCACAGAATCACAGAAACACAGAATATGCTGAGTTGGAAGGGACCCACAAGGATCATGGAGTCCAACTTTTAGCCCTCTACAGGACCATCCCCAAGAGTCAAAATATGTGCCTTGAAATTATAGTAATTCAGCGTTGTTCTAAGATGCTGTACCAAATACAGTATTATCATTTCTCCCAGGTTCTACAGGACTTGAAGCGTGCTATACTTGATTCACTTTCTATAAACTCAAACTAGCCAAATACTTCTGTGTTAATATCCATGATGTCTCCTCTGTTCATTTCAAATACAAAATGTGACCACAAACTCTAAAACTGTTAGGAATCTGCCAGATAAGGGATAACGTCTGACATCATTTGAGTCCTGTTTGAATAGGTCTGATGTAGTTTTCCATCTCTCTAATTCCATTCAATTTTTCCATTACTAACTACTTCCACCTTCACACATACCCTTTTCTTCCTCTTTTTTTTCTTTTTTTAAACATTAAGAGTCAGTTCACAACCAAAGAAAGCAGTAAGTAATCAAGTGATCATCATCAGGCTTAGTAACCTCTGCTCAGAGGGCTAATTTGCTGAAAGTAAAACCTCTTTCTTTCAGCTTTCTTCCTAGAGAACAAAACATCCACAATCAGAAGGCTGAGGGGGGATCCCACAGCAGTCTACACCTTCCCCACGGGATGTGGAGGAGGCAGCCGAGGGAAAGCTGCTGATCTCCTCTCGCTGGTGACCAGTGACAGCACCTGAGGAAATGGAAAGAAGCTGCATCAGGGGAAGTTCACGTTGGGCTTTAAGGATTTGGACTTCCTGATCCTTACAGGTCCCCTCCAAACTGCAATATTCTGTGATTCTATGAACATGAACCTACTCGAACCCACTAAAATTCCTGTCTTTCTCGAAGAATTTGTATGAGTTCATTATCACCTATTTTAAGTGCCCTAGTTCAAGAAAATTTGCACAACCTGCAAAACTTAGAAGTTCTTGAAGCTGCTAATAATGATAAAAATGTATCAGTCATTGCTGCGCAAATCTGCTTTTTTTAGATGACTCTGTATTTTTAATTACAGCTAAAAACATTTCCCTAGTTTAAAGAATATTAAATATACAAAGGAACGACACTCTTGTGTTTTAAGTTCTGTTTAATTTTCAATACAAAAAGAAGTTGTCCTTGAACTACTAAAGTAGGACAATTATGTGTATCCAAGACATTACTTGTTCTAGTATGTTCAAAGTTTTCAGGTATTCAGAGACATCAGACTAGCCCAGTTTCACAGTTACATATATTAGAGCACTTAGTAAGTGTTGACAGAATATATATAGGACAAAAATAATTCCAAATGTTTAATTACAACCAGCCTGTTCTCTAGCAGCATACACATTTACACACACATCTCAAGGACAGGAAGAGTTTAGGGTTTGGAAGGAAAGAAGCATCAGAACCTACTGTAGCCATCTACAGAATCTAATTTACACTCACACCATATATACCTTTGCATATATAGAGAGAGATTTATATACAAATCCCAAAAAAGAAAACAGTTGTGGCAATGCCTCTGAAGGACAAAATCACAGCTTTCTCTCTTCCATCAACCACAACTGTTGGCACCACACTTTTCCTGTTTTCTTCCACCAGTTTAGGAACAGAGCCTGTCTCTAAACAGTCAACACCCTACACCTTCCCTCATTAGTAACAGCAGCCTTAAAACCAGGTAGTTGTAGGCACTGACAGATCACAAATCCCACATGGATCCCTTCACCTGAGATCATTTTACCCTACTTTAACTGTTCCCTAGAATACAGAGTGAAACATTTTTTGCTTCAACATAATTTATGTTGTGTCACTCAGAAAGAATGTTTCTTCTTAAACAGCAGAAATTTTCAGAAAAATATTGGGATGCAACTTTGTGTGAAGCTCTAAAAATCTGAACGTTAAGATTTCCAAGCCCTGAAAAGAACAGTGAGAGGCAGTAAAGCCCTAACTGGGCCACTGGCTTTCAAATATCTGGCAGGAAGTTTATTTGAACAGATTCTTAGTGAAAACAAAAGGCAAACTGAAATCACCATTCCCTCAATCAGACACCTTATCTTTCACCACTCTTGACACCAAAGCACTTTGGAAGGTGTGGGAAAAGACTAGCATGGCAGCTCCATATATTATAAAATTTAGCTTGCAGGTGGCAAAGGGAATACAGCTTTGAGGAAAGAAAGGAAGGACACAGGCTGCCCAGAGGCTTCTCCACCCAGGAGGGAGGCAGAGCTCCCTGCCAGGGAGGGGTGAAGGCTCCCCCCCACTGCAGTGAGGAGGCACCACCCCCATCCTAGTTCAGCCCAGCCCCTCTTCCAGGCT